CAAAATTGACGTTCAAATCGAAGGTAAAATGATCCGTTATTCAGAATGTGCCAAAAATTTGGGCTTACATTTAGATGAAGACCTGAGGTTTGAAAAACCTTTACAGCACGTTTTGAGGCAATGTTACGGTTCGCTCCGGCTTCTATTTGCAAACAATTGCATCACTGGTAAACAATTGAAAAAACTGCTATGTGAAAGCTTGGTATTGTCTAAGATTTCGTATGGGCTAATAATTTATTACCCCTGCCTAACTGCTGCGAATAAAAGACGTATACAGATAATGCAAAATACTTGTAGTATATACATAAATAATTTGAGGAAATTTGATCATATATCGCATACGTATTCTGACCTCAACTGGTTAACTATACGTATACATAATCTATACACATATTCTGTTATAAGTTCTGTGCATCGTATTTTACTATCCGCATCACCCCCATACCTGTTTGAAAAATGTATTACCAGATCCAGCACGCATAATATTAACACAAGGCATCAGGCTTTCTTTATACTGCCAGTTCACCGTACTGTTTTATATTCAAGAACCTTTATTTACAATGCCGTTAAATATTACAACAGTATTAATTTTCGTTTTAAAAATATTGCGAATATTAAAACTTTTAAATTAAAATTGAAGTCCGATCTTCTCTCGCAAACACTTATATTTTTTTATATTGGTTAATGATGGTTGAATTTAAAAAAAATCCCTTTGATCACAGTTTTGTTGGTTTAAGACAAACCGATTTAAATGTATGTACCATAGTTAATGGCATCCATTTCTATGTAATTTCGTATAAATTATCAAAGCGGGGTTAGGTGGAAGAATAGCTCACGCTAAACCTCGCCCCTCGTAATGTACTAAATGTTTAGTGCAATAAAGATCCTTTATTATTAATATTATTATTATTTTGGAGGAGCTTCAGGTATTTTGTACATTGTCGAGTTAAGCTTCTGTTAGACCCTGCCTTGTTGATATTAACCTCGTCAATTGAAATATGGCCTACTTTTATGTCAGTTTTATACTGTTAACACTGCGTGAGAAATTCAGAGCCAACCTACTTGAGTCCGTTTCTAGGTCATGTTCGTACTCAACTACCGTATGTACCGCGCTCAATCCAGAAAGTTTTGCCACTGGAGGTATTAATCGCTTTTAGTGTGCGGCACGCTCGTCGCTCGACTAACATCAATGCTGTTTGGAAGCAACGCGGCGTAAAATTCCGCACCAGTCGTCAAATTATGCTAAAGGGGCAGTAGAATTAGACGGAAATTGAGATTTCGAGCGGATACGCATATACTCAAATTATATGCAGATGGAGTCTTTCGAAACAGAACTAGAACTTGTCCAGCAGTTGGTCGGGAGTTGTATTCCAAGCATTAATATGCTGATCAGCAAGACGAAAGTTTCTTCAGTATTGAGGTCAGGTTCCAAAATATCACCACCCAATAAGCTTTTGGTAAAAGAACCGTTCAGCCATAAAAGCTCTCTATTGTTGTTGCCTGAACACAAAAATGCTGGCTTAATGTTGTGTGGAATGCAGATTTGCTTTCTGCAACATATTTGCTCTAAAATGAAGAGTTTAAAATATTCTTATAGCATAGTTATACAACACCTTATAGGGCAAATTTTTAACTGTTGCATAAACGTTTATACAACTATTTGATACGGCATACTTGCACGTTAGTTGAAGTGGTTGTGTTGTGGCATCCATGGTAACGTTTATAAAATAAACCCGAGCTTTGTTGTTCTGCTGTGCAATTTTCTACTTTAGCCAACAAATTGCTCCCAACGGAAGCACTTATACAACTGTTGTTTAGTAACTGTTAAAGGCTGTACATATGCTAAATATGTTGGTAAACAGCTTCACCATAACCTAACTTTCTACTGTCATATTTTGGTAAAATGCTAAAATGCCATAATCAATGTTTTAAGACAAACAACGCATGCATATTGGTCCAAAAGGTTTTATCAACTGTTCAAACAGAAGATATAGATCTGGTACAAATTCTGGGTAAATCATTCGACTCTGTCTGTATTTTATCTTAGAGGTTTGTCAAATTGTATAACACCTGCAGGCAAGACCAAAATATTCTAATAAATAAATAAATAAAAACGCCTTTATTTTAAACTCGACGAAGGCCAGCTGTGCTGTTAACTTAACCGAGCATGTAAAAAGTAACAACAAGCCAAAAAGAAAAGTAATATGACAAGAAACAAGTTTTACATTACATTAATTTTAGAATATTACATAACAACAATGAACAATAGTAACAACAGATGTACGTATACAAAGAAAATAAGCAATAATAAACAACTTATACTTCACAGAAGCAGTTGTTTCAGTTTTCGTTTGAACATATTAGGAGACATATCTTCAAATTGACCTATATTGTATTGGTTTAGAAGTTTGACTGATGTATAGGAAAATGAGCTTTGAGTCATGGTTTTAGTTATTTTAGGTATTTCATAAAGTACATTAAAGCGTGTTGCACGAGAGTGAATCAGATTTCTACGAGTTAATTTTTCAAACAGATATGGAGGGCTTTTAGTTTTAATCAATTTATGAAGAAAGCAAGCAAAATGCAGCTTTTCTCGATTGGAAACATTCAACCATTTCTGTTCGGAAAGTTTATGACTGACATGATCGTGACGTCTAAGCTGGTAAATAAGTCGTATGCAAGAATTCTGCACTTTTTGGAGTTTATCCTTAGTAAATACATCTAAGCACGGACCATACACAAAGTTGCAATAGTTAAGGTGACACAAGATTAGTGCTTCGCAGAGAACCTTTTTTAACTTAAAACTAAGAATATCTTTACTTTTGTAAACATTGCGAAGGTTAAAATAGGCTTTTTGTAGAAGCCTAGACACATGACTTCGGAATCTAAGCTTGTTATCAAAGATAACGCCCAAATTTGTATATTCCTCAACAACCGGTATTGCCACACCATCCATTGCTATCACCAAGTTTACATACGCCCAATCTTTAGCTGGCCCAAAGTAGATTATGGCTCATTTATTAGGATTCAATTTCAAGCCATGATTAAAAGAGTATTTAAAAACTGAATCCAAACACTCGTTTAGCCTCCTAGCCGCTTCAATTGCGTCCGACTTAACAAAAGAAAGCTGAATCTGTGTATCGTCAGCGTATCTATGATTGTTTATGTCACCAAAGCACTTCGACATATCAGCAGTAAAAATGATAAAAAATAAAGGACCCAAAAGTGATCCCTGAGGAACTCCTCTAACAACGTTCAAGGGTTTTGATTTAAGCCCATCAATTGAGACCGACTGCGATCTGTCATCCAAATAACTACGAATAAGTTGAATAGTCTTAAGTTTAAATCCATAGTACAAAAGTTTTGCACACAGCAATGCATGGTTCAGGGTATCGAAGGCCTTGCTAAAGTCCAACAACACCAATGCCGAAGTTTCACCCCTGTGCGCAGCCAAAAGAATGTCATCTAGAACCTTCAACAGAGCCGTAGTAGTACCAAACCCTTTACGGAATCCAGACTGCAACTTGGGTAATAAATTATTATCTGTGAAATAAGTAATGATTTGCCTATAAATAAGCTTTTCAAATACTTTAGACAGCACTGGTAGTATACCAATTGGTCGCAAATCAGAGACATCCTTAGGACTGCTAATTTTAGGTAGCGGCAGTACCACAGCCGTTCTCCATTGGGCAGGAAAGATGCCCTTTTGTATGCAGGAATTAAATAGGTTAACCAGCACGGGTAAGATCGTTGGACAACACAACCTCACCATGTCAAGGCTAATTCCATCTGCACCAGAGGCGTTTGACCCAATCTCCGATATTGCCCAGAAAACGTCATCTTCACTAACGAGTTTCAATTCAAATTCTGCGGTTGTACGTTTGGAATTAAGATATTTAAAAATAGTATTCGTATCGACAGTGCTAGGTATTTGTTGCACCGAGTCGATAAAATATTGATTAATTAAATTTGGGTTTTTAAGATGGTTAGGAATTTCTATATTTTTTTTTTGGATCTGTTATAGATATTAAGTTGGTCTAGTGCCTTCCACATGTCTTTGGATTTTTTAGTACGACTGACAAAATCAATATAAGCTCTCTTTTCTTGTCGAACAGCTGACGTAAAAAAATTCCTCATTTCTTTGTAGGATGCCCAATCCCGTAAATTTTTAGTACGTTTATATTTAGAGAAAAGATAGTTACGGTGATTCTTCATCGCACGCAACGCATCAGTAAACCACGGGGAAGGTGGCCTGGTAACTTTTTTCTCACATATTGGCGCATGAGAATCAAAAAGAGTCGATATCATATCTGCGAGAATTGCAGTCTTCTGGTTAACATTATCACAGTCTATAACCTGCCACCAAGGGAAGTTTATAAGATCTTGTTTGAAGCTATAGATGTCAAAGTGTTTAAAGTTACGATACTTAATAATTCTAGGCCTAACGGCAGAGATCTTAATATTTATTGAACAGTGTATGAGCTGATGATCGGAATGGTGATGCAAGTCCTGATGATGGACACTGCCACTTAAGAGATGATCATCGGACATGATGATGACATCAATCAAACTGGCTGTGTCTCGGGAGTACCTAGTTGGGTTAATTACAACTTGCTTGAAGTTGAAAGTATCAAGCAAATTATTAAACTGATTGGTTATGTTAGTATGTCTTAATAGATTAATATTAATATCCCCCATTATAATCAATTCATCTGTCACTGGAATTAAATTAGCTATTGATTCTTCCAGTTGGCGTAAGGCAGTCATCACATTAAAACGAGGAGGACGGTAAATGATGGCCAACCCCAATTTTATTTTGCCAATTTTGAGAATAAGCCATTGCTGCTCAAAAATTCCCCTCTGGTCCTCAGTTACATCTATCTCAACTACTGTAATATCAGATCGAACATAAACCCCTATTTCACCTTCCCGAGACCCACGATCAACGCGATAAAACTTAAAATTGTTTATTTTAATTTCCTGTTCACTTACTTGTCCAGTTAACCATGATTCCGTTACTCCTAATATGTCCAACTTCAAATTATCTATCGAAGACTTAATTTCGTTCAAACTTGGTATCAGTGAACGTACATTAATATGTCCTATCCTTAAATTATTTTCAAGATTCGTACTAGCCATGATAAATTATAAAAATCAAGCAACAAATGGAAAATATATATATAAAAAACAAACAAAGCAAATGAGATAAAGGGCTACTTAAGTAGGTCATTTACTTGATTAACATTCCGGATGAAAATAATATCAAAGCCATCATTCTTGCGAGCTAGAATCTTCCCCTCTCGATGCCACACATATTTGTAGCCAACACCCTTAAGTTGCCTTGAGTGTTTGAATAACTGGTACGTTTCCTTGGTCAGCTCCTCATCGACGAATATTCTAGAATCCGCATCACCACATTTAGTGTTCCTAAGTGTTAGTTTCCCTTTTTTGGAACGAGTTGTAAGAATCTGCTTTTTATGTTCAGGCTTCAAGGTAACTATAGCCTTTACGTCGTTTTTGGTTGGAACTTGTTTAAAATGAGCTACATCATTCCGAGAGATAGGTGTATCCAGAAAAGAAAATAAAGCCAAAGTTTTCACCACTGCTTGCTCTTTATCATCATTTTCAGTAACAAGACCGGTAATAGACAAATTATTAACCAACCTTTTAGATTCCTCTTTGTTAAGAGTAAGTTTCAATCCATCAACATCTTTCCTAAGCATTTGGTTCTCCTTGGATAAATCTCCAACCATCTCTTCCAATACCTTGGACCTTTTCCTTTCCTCTTCCCACTGGCTACTCAAGAAATCAATAGATCTGATTAATTCTTTGTTCTCGTCTTGCAGCTGTCTAATAAGAGATTTGAGCTCCGTAATGACATCAGATTGATCGTTAATCGGTTGTGACATGAGGATAGACCTCCTACCAGCAACACCTGACAGTGCTGATAGAGGAGAGGCCAAGGGTGTTCTGCAGGAGCCGCATTTCCATGCTCTTTTTTCAGCTGCCATAAGCCTTGCATCGACCTCGCTAACTTTCTCACACTCAAGATGAAAGAAGCGTTTACAAACGCCGCAATGAAGCCTGAGAACTGATTTTGAGATATTCTTCTTCAAGCATCACATTTCTTTATAGATCCACCAGCCATCTCAAAGACCTTCCAATACTTCAGGCTGAACGTGGCAACGCAGCACAGAATTCAATGCCGTGCGAAGGGAGTCCAAAGTCCAAAACTCGGCGAGTGGACAAGGTGTTTATCGTTGTTTTGTTGATAAAAAGTGAAAAATAACTTACGGATTTTATGCGTATTGAAACAGTTTCTAAAAACGCGAATTTGATTTGCAAATATATTTAATTCGACTTAAAACAGTGTAAAACTTGATTATTTATAGCAGCACAAAATCACACGGTCTGTGAACGCTGTTGCCAAATAACCTAAAGACAACATGGACGATGCCATGATCGTACACAACCACCCGCCATATTGGGCAAAGATTTATTCCCCTATTTAATATTAAATAATTATGTTTCAGTTCGAAATTACAGATATAAAGTGGTCAAAATTAGTGTAATTGTGTCTAAATATAGGATTTGTGGAAGATTTAACGGAGATAAGTTCAGATTTCCATCTTAAAAATCTAGACATACTTTTGATCATTGTCAAAATATGAATCAAATACGTAGCCCGTAGAAATTGGGTAATTAATTTGCACGATAATCACCATAAAATTCGCTGCGCAAGTAATTCAATAGCCCTATATCACTGTGTAGAAGTTTTTCATATGTATGAAATTCACAATGGCCGATATGTCAGTAAACAAGATGACAGTAATGTGTTAGTTATATATTCTTCACTTCGTCTATACAATACATAAGAAATAGTTTGGTTACAATAAAGTAGAATCACGTAGCAGAACAGTTGTATAGTTGACAATGAATCTTGCACTGACGCAAATGTCCTATAGCGGCTACAAGAGGCTTACACTTTTGTTTTATAACTGTTACCTGCAGCCCATATTTAACCTCTTAAATGACTGAAGTGTCCTATTAGGTGTGCCCATTGCGCTTGTATAGCTGTTCTGAAAGGGTTTTGCCAATATTCTTACAGTATACAATGCTGTTTAAGGAATACTGTATAATCATTCTTGCAACTCTAATAGGTGTGATAATTGTTAGTCGGGCAGGTAACGCAGGATTTTAGGAGTAATTCCCCGGTTTTTGTCATACTGATTAACAATAGCAAGGAATAAAACTACAAAAAAAAACTTCAAAACCGCCTGTATCCGTTTTTATGAATTGTCCCGGAGAAGGAAAAAAATTCTGATTTCGCCTATATTTATGAGAAGCAAAAAATATATATTTTGTGTGTATTGATCCAATCTAGTACAATATTTTTATGATTATGTTTAGAAATTTCTAGGAAAAAAATAAAATAATTTGGATATATTTGGTTTTGTTTCAAAACAGGTGAAATTTGAGTAATACAAATTAGAAAACTGAATAAAATAGAAGTATTTTACTGGATTCTACAAGCTTAAATATGAAGTGCTTATTCCTCATCGAGGCAGTCGCACTCTGCCTCTTTATCCTCGATTACAGCGCCATGGATAGTACGAGGGATGTCTTCTAAGTTTTGCATATGGAAATAAAACAACACGGTAGGTAGTTTTTAATGAATTTTTTGTTTTTTGTAGTATTCTCCATGAAGGTTAATACACATCGGCATGCGCTCGAACCAATTTTCGAAGCACTTATTCCACTCGTTTGCTGGCATTTTTGAATGCGTCAACTGCTTCTTCTGGTGACTAGAACCTTTGACCACGAAGTCTGTTTTTAATTTTCGGGAAAGTAAAGAAATCGTTAGGACTTAGATCGGAACTATATGGCGGATGGTCCAATAATTCCACGTTTTCTTCCGTTAAATACTGCTTTGTTTTTTGGGCTGTGTGCGAGCTTGCATTGTCTTGGTGGAGGATGATTCTTCTTTCGGGGTTCATTTTTCGAAGCTCGTTGACGACTTTTGGCAAACAAATGGTGGTATACCAATTCGCAGTAACAGTTCTTTGCTCATTAAGAGGAATTGTTGCAATATGACCCGCTTTTGACACAAATGTCGCGACCATCTTTTTCGAAACACTTCGAGAACGGATGACTCTTGTTGGCTTTTCTTCAACTTGGAACACCCAAACAGCCGACTACCGTTTACTTTCTGATTCATAACAGTAAATCCACGATTCATCGCTACTAACAATGCTGTACACATTTTTTGAGTTTCCGGAATTGAAACGGTCAAGCGTTTTTTGACACCAATTAACCCTGGCTGCTTTCTGCTCTTCAGTCAACAGGTGGGGTATCCAACGAGAAACTAATTTTCTTACTCCTAATTCTTCATGTAAAATTTTTTGAATTGAGGACTTTGAGATCTTCAAGGAAGCCTCAATCTCGCGATATGTCACATGTCTATCTTCAATGATGAGTTTGCGCACAGCATCGACGTTTTCCTGGGTGACTGCCGTCGCAAAGAGTCACCCGTCCACGTTTGAATTCTCCATACCAACGGGAAATTGTCGACTGATGTGGCGCTTCGTTGCCGAAAACAGACAGCATTCTTGTTGCGATAATTATCTCTGAAGGTTGTAATAAATTATGGCGCGAAAATGTTCTCGGTTGAGTTCCATTTTTCTAATGACTTGGTGACGCTTAAAAATTCACTGTAGTGAGATCACTGCACGTATTGTTCTGAAACTTTTAATTTACGTTTACTAAAGAGTGAGGTTAAGATTCAGTACTGACGTTCGATCCGCGCGGCCTACTATGTTTCTATATGCAAAACTTAAAAGACATCCCTCGTGTGAGCGAAAAGTTTCTTATCTAATTCAAATACATTTATTTATTAAAATGTCCTGTTCTACACTAATTTACACTATAATATATAAACAATATCTGGGAATTTAATGATTTAATTCGTTATAAGCATGAACCATTGATATCTCAAAAAAAATGTATTTACACACTTAAAATGTCAACGTTCCGATGGGAGGGGAGCACCGGAGAGGGGGCGATGGGCGGCAGAAAGCAATAGACGCGAAGTCACACCGGCGAACTCATACAGTTAACCACACCGAAACACATCCACACACACACATACACATCTACCATCACGTGTTCGGTTCTCCATCTTAATACGAAGATGAATTTGAAAAAGTTAACTTTACAATAAGTATCCATGCACAATCTCATTCATTATTGTATTATTGTTCATGAAGAAGCATGGCCGTTATATATACTAAGTGACATATAAATCCGAACACCCAATAAAGTACTTAATGAAGCATAATAAGTAAATGATAAAAATTTCAAAATGATTGCACTGCTTTAAAGCCCTTTCACCTTTAATAATGTGTGGATGCACCCTGATGTGATACGCATTCTCCAACGCGCCTAGGCATGCTTCTGATCAGGTGGTCAATGTCCTCCTGTGGTATTTCATTCCAGGCAACCACCAACTCCTCTCGAAGTGCTTCTAGAGTCTGAGGAGGACGTTGCAAATTGAGCAATCTCCTACTCATCATATCCCACACGTGCTCAATTGGGGATAAGTCGGGAGATCTTGGTGGGCATGGTAACAATGTGACATCATTATGTTGAAAGAAGTCTATTGTGACTCTTGCAACATGTGGTCGGGCATTATCTTGTTGGTAAGTTGGATCTGCCTGGGTGTCAAGATAGGGTAAAAGATTTCTAGAAGAGTTCTAGAACTTCGTAGATATAACGCTGCGCGTTCATGTTACCTCTGATGAAGATTAAAGGTGATCTGGAACCATAAGCTATAACACCCCAAACCATAACTCCAACAGTGTGGTGAACATGTCTTTCAACAAAAAACTGTGGATTCCTCCTTTCACCACATCGCCTTCTAACCCTGGCACGACCATCGTGCATGCCTAAACAAAATCGAGACTCGTCACTAAAGACAATACTGTTCCATTCCTGATCCCAGAGTGACAGTTGTCTGCACCACTCAAGGCGATTACGTCGGTGTTCTCGAGTTAAATGGAGGACCCAGTGTGGCCGGTATGAAAACAAGCCAAAACTTCTCATTCGTCGGTAAAAACTTCGCATGCAAATAGGTCTTCCGTGTTCTGCAAACCATCCATTTGCAATGGACCTGGTAGTGGAGAAACGGTCCCTTACGGCCAATAATCTTAGGCGGCGATCTTCACGGTCTGTTGTTCTACGGCGGCGTCCAGTGCCCCTTGCTCTTTGCGTACAGCCTTCTCGAAGCCATGTGTGACAACACCTAACCACAGTGTCTACACTTCTTTGCACTCTAACTGCAATTGCCCGAAAAGAAAGCTTCCCGAAGTCCCACTATACGGCCCCTATCAAACTCACTAAGTTGACGAAATCGTACAGGTCTCCGAATGTCCAACTGATAAGGCTGAAAATTTTTTCACTTGTTATTTACAGTATGATAAATACATTCGCCAACTTTTATTAAAATAAAACCATTTAAACTGGGTGTTCGGATTTATATGTCACTTAGTATACTTTGAGAACACTCTTTGTGACATAGCCTTTACATTATTATTTAGACTGTTCCACATTTGAACTGCAAAAAATGAAAAAGAACGTTGAAATGCTGCAGATCAATGTCGAGGAATAATAAAAATATTCTGGTTGTCTTGTTCCGAAATAATGATTGAAAGTTCATTTTTCAAATACGGAGGTTTTGCTGATTTTATTATTCTATAGATGAAATAAAATAAATGATGTTTTCTGCGATTTAACATATTCAGTATAGACAAATTGTTTAGGTAAGGCGTTATGTGGTTACGATAAAGTATGTTAAATTAAAATCGCATTCAGGCGTTCTGCACGTTTTGTATCGTATTTTTAGTAGTATACGCCAACGAGCTTCCAAAAACTATATCTCCATAGTCAAAAAGCAACAGTATGAGATTCTGACAAAGGAATTACTTTTGCTTAGGCAATAAAAATTTTTTCAGTTTAGAGATATTTTTTAATCGTATGTAAGCTGCTGTCAAATTTTTTCTTCATGAGTGGTTGAAATGATAATGCATTATCGAAGATTACGCCTAGATTATTTGCTTCGTGAACAATGGGGACTATCTCATGGTTTATACGGATATTCGAACTACGATCAATATTTTTCCTAAGTGTGAAATTAGATCCCAAAATTAAAGCTTTTGATTTGGAAGCATTAAGTTTTACATTATGGCGTATGGCAAAACTGTTCCTTTCTCGATTGCCATTCTAAACCAAAGTGTTCTTGAAAGAGCTGCTTTAGATCTATTTCTTTTTGTCAGGCAAACAGTTGGTCGAACCACGTTGAGCGATATGTTATGATCGGATTTTCCTATTTTCAGCAATTTCTCCCCTATGCCATTCATATCTCTTTAATACAATTAGCGTGATTTCTTCATCTTCATTCCATTTTTTAGTTTTTCTAATGAATATCCTTTCTATTTCTGAAATAGCATTCTGAAATATCCTTTCAAGGTCTTTGGTATCAACTATTTTACAGTCGGTTCTTATAACTTTTACTTTCCCAACTTTACTGTAAATTTTAATACACTCATCTTTAGAAATTATCACTGTATTCTTATTAAGTAATTTTTTAAATTCTACCAAAACAATGATCGGTTACCATGAAGCTGTGCCCACGAATGGGGAAAATAACGGAAATTTCACGCACATTATTTGAGGACTATTGTCTTGCTGTCACACCCTTTTTGCGGCGTCTTGTGCTTCTATTTCGCTCTTCAATGCTTATAAGTTCTTGGTCTATGATTTTTGTTGCTTTCTGCTCTAAGTTCTAATACCTAACCTCAATAATTAGCCGATAATACGCGTGCACGCTCCGAATCCGCTGATCCTGGATATATTTCTTTTATACTTTTTTTTTATACTCCAACTACCACGAAGGTCTAAGGCCTAAACACCCATTGGGTACCGTGGGGCTATGGTAGGACACAGGGAAAGGGGGGACGCCACACGGACTCTGGCGAGGGAACACGTGTGCATGCAACATCTACAAATTCTGGCTCCTCCTACGAGATCCGTCGGGTGGTACCTCCGCGTTTGACAGTCAGAGACCGTCTACCACCTACGGACAATCACAACATCCATAGCCGTTTTGATCACAAAATCAAATATATGCGATTTTGAAGTAAAGCCACAACTTTACATGCAATTTAAACACAATAGGTGGTTTTGAACACAATGAGCGTACCGTTCGATAGAGCTGCTCAAACTTAGACGAAATCAATGAAATATCAATATCCAAATTATAGATATAGGCGGTTTTGAACGCAAGCTTCTCAATTTTATTGTTATATTTACGATGATTAAGCACGTTATTCTCATCAGGTTTTTGGAGTTACGTTCTAGCTTAATTGGATTTCTGCGTGTGAAAATTTTGGCAAAGTAGGCGTCTCGGACTGAGACAAATGGAGGCTCGAACAATGTACTGTTGTGAGGTTCACATAATTCTCTGAAGAGAAGAGAAAAGAAACAAACATCTAACTTGAAAAGCATTTTTAAGAAACGCGACAAAGCTCTCCCGAATTTCCGTTATGACGCATCTGATGTAAACTGGTCTTCGTACAAAAATATGCGAAATACGCACTTGCTTCCTTCCGTATGGGGCCTACCTTTCTAGATATGGTGAGATTAGTACACGATCTCCATGAAAAACACCTAGAACTATAAATGTCTTGCAACAAAAACGTGACGATGTACCGTTTAATGTGCCAGATCCCGTGAAGCCCATGAATTAGGTACTCCTATGCCTGTGGATCAAAACTGTCACTATCAACAGCTAGAGCAACAGATGCTTTGATCCTGACTTGTCATCATTTCACTTTCACATGGTAGCCCCTCGTGAAGTTATGGATACAATCTTGTATATCAAGTCTAAAGCAACGGGCTGTGGTATCACTCTAATTGTGCTAGGCTTATGCTTGCCTGAAATACTTAATCACATCACGCATATAATTAATTTCTGCTTAGAGAGGGGCGTTTTCCGATCCAACTGGAAGGAGGCAATAGTCACACCTTTGGCCAAAAAGAATAATCCATCTGAACTTGCCGATCTTAGATCTATAAGTGGCTTATGTTCATTGCCGAAAGTCTAGGAGAACATAGTATAGTATAGTGCAACGTAGTTCAACAGTTTGTTGAATACTTTGCTAATAGTAATTTGTTTCCAATACACCAGCCTGGTTTTCGTAAAGTTATTACTACACCTTGCAGATTAGTTACTTCGCAACATTGACGACAAGTCCAGCATGCTGTTGGTCATGCTTGATCTTTCCAAGGCTTTCGATACGATCAACCATGAGGTTCTCTCTTGATTTCTTCAGATCTTACCTAACTGGTCGCATCTAAAAATTGAAAATATCTAGAGGAACTTCTGATGCACGGTATGTTCCATCAGGAGGTCCACAGGGTTCAGTACTGGGACCTCTTTTATTCGTAGTATTTAAGTTTGATCTGCATGAGTGTGAGGCACATTGTTACATTCAAATGTATGCTAACGATACACAACTAACATTTCGTTTTAATGAATCCAACTTACATGA